AGGGAAAGAGACGTCAATGTGAGTCTGATGTGAGAGAATACATCCATTCGTTGCCTCCTGAACCCGCCCTGACGGGGCAGGGAGTGAACCCACAACTGAAGTACTGGAACCTTCAATCTTTCAGTGTGGGGGTGGATGCTCTAACCACTGAGCCACGCTGGCCAGGGCAGTTGTGTGAAGTTTTAAGTCCATTGGTAGACTTGGTAAAGTAATCAACTATTCCAAGTATTTAAGAGATATGTGAGGAGGTCACCAGCTAGCAGATATTTAACCACTTTGCCATAATCAGTGAACCCACCATTTTCTAAGTAAATTGTCCCACTCTGGTCCAGTTTACTTACAGGAAGCACCAGGCTGAGATCTGGAATTCTAGCATTTGAGTTTAACAGAGTCAAGGGAAGGCAAGAGTGGGATTTGGAGACTTTTTTTTAATGACAAAAATAAATTTTCACTCAACTGACTTTACCACCACCATTTTTGCCCTTGTTTCATAGGGACCAGACCTTACATAAACCAACTTCAAGAGGAAGGTAGCCTAGGAGAAGCAGTGTCAGCAGTCACCATCAGCCAGATTCTGGAAGTCGAAGAACACCAGTCTGGGGAGGGAAAGTGTGGGAGATGTGCAGAATGACTATATTGATCTCCATCAGCCAGAAAAACCTTCCCAATCCAGAAAAACAAAAGGCTTTAGGTTCAATTATATTAGCAGGTGCTACATTTACCTCTTTTAATGTCAACTTGCCAGCCAGGGAGTCCCACTTTGAAAAGCCAGTGATCTTATGCCGAATAAGCCAAGTCTTTGTTTACAAGAGAAATTACTCACATGGCAGATTTGTTTCTCTGGTTATCTACTTTTATTCATCTTCTTTTGGTTTAGCCCCACATGAAGGCGTGGGCGGGGCTGTGATTTATCCCCTTTATCTTCATGTCTAATGAACACTGTACCCCTGCGCTTCATCCTGGAGACTGGTAAAATCATCTTCAAGAGGGTGTACAAGAAGTAGGCAGGGATGGGCAAGGTGGTGACGACAATGAGCAATACAAGCAGGACTTTAGCCCATGATGGATAATTATGGGTTGTCTCATTTGACTGTGGAGAAAAGGGAGGAGGGTTTAGAATGCCCAGGTTCTCTGAAGTGAGATGCAAAGCTGGGGGTAGGAGGTGAACCAAGGCAAGAGACTAGATAACTGAGTCCCCAGGGAATAAGAGGGCTGGGTCCCAGAGGCAAGAGTGGATTGAAAAGTCTTTCCCCACTCCCTAAGGGAGTCTGGGGTCTGTGGAGGGAGGCTCACAATGCTTGAGTTCCAGGCCATGTAAGTGATGGGCTTCAGATACAGATGAGTCAGGGTGCTTACAAACAGGACCAGCAGCACAAGTGGAGACACAAAACACCACAGCCAACGATAGATGGGGGAGATAGGGCGGCCCAATATGATTGTCAAGTCTGCAAGGAACCTGGGAGGAAGGGTCATAAGGCTTTGGAAGGGCCATTCAAGTATTACCCAGCCTTTGGTGTCAGTCCAAACCTAGCCTTGGTGAGAGCCCTTAACATTTCTTAGACCTTTCTGCTCATCTCCAAACCAGTCTTCTTACCTCTAATGCATCCCTTTTTGGGCTAACTTCTGTCCCAGCCCCAGGTTTTTAAAAATACCATTTCTATCCCCCTTTACCTTCAGGACAAAAGCCAAGTTCCTAAACGTAGTTTCTTCAAGACCATATAGTCAGCTGTCCTTCGTACACTTTCTTAAGCCCATTACATATGCAAGTCTGGTTCCTTCCGCCTAGAATGCCCTTCTCTCTCTCCCTTGATAAACTCCCCTCCATCTGTCTAGATTCTGTCCAGGCATCCCCTCCTTGCCCGACTCTTCAGCTCTCTTTAGCTAACCACCTGTTTTTATAGCACCTTTGGCTGCCTCGATCATAGGCTTACTTACCACCCTGCCCATGGATCTGCTTCTATGTCTTGACTAACTATAACTTATCCTAGCATCTGCGGTACTCACCACAAGGACTTCTTGGCATGTGGGAGGCCCTAAGAAATACTTGAGTGCGAGTGAGTATGTGAATGAGCCAACTGATGTAGAGAACCGCTATCACCTGGAAACACCACTACCCTTGGATGATACAGTGCTTCTCAAATGTTAGTGTGCATAGGTCTGGGGTGGAACCTGAGGCTCTGCATTTCTAATGAGCTCCGAGGTGAGGCCAGTGCCGCTGGTCCATAGAGCACACTTTGAAAAGCATGGGGTTGCATGTTTCGGATGCCCAGACTATCCTGGTTATAAGTAGGGCTCGGAAGTCCCTAAGACTTGCTATAGACTGTTCACCGCTTTGCCATTTTTCATCTATATTCTCCGGAAACCAGCCCATACCTTTCTCCTTCCTACCCTCCTGGGTGCTGTCCATAGCCCTGGGATCAGAGACCTGCCAGTGAGAGCAGGAGGGGCCCACGCTCCCTAGAGACCCTGGCTGTGTGGGTGCATGGAAGGAGATCCTGGGCTTGGGACATCACCTCCGGGCCCCATAGATCCAGGCCATGGCCATGTTCTCTGAGATGAGAATGAAGAAGAGAGGCAAAGATGCCCAGTAATCATCCATCAGGTTCACATAGTAGCTGCCCGAGGGCCGCACGAAGTTGAGGCTGCCCAGGAACATAAGCACACAGACACCCACTGTAGGGAAAAATCAGGCTCGGATCAAGGTCAGAATTCAAGCAAGGTTGTTAAGCTAAACAATGGCAATAGGTGAGAGTGGGGTCATAGGTCAGAGTACCTGTGAGCAGCTTTGTATGTCTCCTAAGGGGCAAGAAGGTGTCCTGGAGAGGGGTGATGAGGCCCTGCAGGATCCCTAGCATAGTGCTCAGCCCCATGGTCACCAGGAACACGAAGATCATGATAGACCAGAAGGTGGATCCAGAAAACACAGAGATGATGTCAGTAAATGCCACAATGGCTACACCTGGCCCCTCCATAACCTGTAAGTAGAGGGAGGAGTGGGAAGGGGTCAGAGCTCAGCCTGTAAAGTACTAACTCAGCTCCTGTCCCGTCCCCCAGGAAAATATCAGTAGCACTGTTAGTGGACATTATACTCTTCTGGCCTTGAGGCATGAGGGCTTCCTCCTATGACAGCTGCTGGTCTAGTGGCTCTTTTGGGTTGAGCTGAACAGGCTTATATAAACTCTAGTGCTTGGTGCTACAGAGCCTATAATTGCCCTATCACAAAAGGAGGCCTTAAACCTTATCTTGGTTGTCCAGGATGCTGCTGAAAATTGCTTCCCTGGATTCTACAGACAGCTAAGGAGAGCTGGAGCTTCTAGTGCACTGGGGGATGGGTATGAGGGGGAACTCCAGGGACACGTCCCCAACCCTTACCTACCTCCTTCAATTTCTCAGATATGTCACAATTGGACAAATAGGGTTGGGCCATGCTTTTGGCTTGTTCAGGGAGGTTGCCAAACCATGTGGGGTAGCTGTAGCTCATATGCTGATACAGACTCTCTGGGAGCCGGAGCTCAGGAGGCAGCACCCCGGCAGTGACCAGATTCATCACTTTCTCAGCATTCCTGGGGGCAGGGATGGAATCATATAAAACCATTTGGGCCTTTAAAATAACTTCTCCTCTCTTATATCCTAGATGAGAAAGGAGATCACTAGCTTCACTTCTGATCTGGTGCAGAGTAAAGCCTATGCTGACACTGAGGTCTCAGGGATCCCGGTGTGCAAGGCCTGAGATCTACTCCCACAATCCCAAAGGTGTCTGTGTGAGGCTAGAGGATTTCTGACTGAAGTGGATCCCTGGAGGGGTCTTTCCTGTAGTATGATTGAGGGTTTTAGGAGCCTTACCACCTCCTAAACAATCTCAGGGTCCCATGGGAGCTCCTCAGCTTTCTTGACCTTCTGGCCTCTCCAACCTCTTCACTCGCGTGTCCTCATCTTTGACACTTCAGTCACAGCAACTATTAAACCTTCAACTTGCCACACTCTCTTGTCTCAGTGCCTTTGGTATGATATTCTCTCTGCCCAGAACTACCCTAACTCTGCCTATCCCAGTTCTGCCCCCACCCCCGTTTTCCATGTGGTAAATTCCTACAAATCCTTACTCAGCTCACTGAACTCTATTTACTGCCATGGAAAGCTGTTCAAGGTCTATTTTCATAAGGTCAAATCAACTAGTTGCAGAAGGTAGTATAATATGATCCAATTTTTAAAAAATTTTACGTATAGGTTTATGAATGGAAAATATTTGAAAGAATACTAGTGAGACAGACTCAGCCAGAACTGCCTCCACTAGGAAGCCTTCTCTGACTGCCCCAGGAAGTTAGAAGCTCCCTCTTCTGTGTGTCCCCACCATCCTACTATCAGTTATCATCTAAGTCCTGATGATCTGTTTAGTATCTGCTTCTTCAAAAGACTGATTTTTCTGAGGGCAGGGATGGTGGTCTGATTCATCATCGGCTATGTTTCCAGAACTCAAAAGGAGTTGGTAGATAGATGTTTTATAAATAAATGTCTGATAAGTATTTTTGAAATGAATCTGGGGGCTCTGGTGCTGTGTGCCCTTTTTTAGGTCTACTGGTTCAGCTGAAGTTACCCCCTAATTTTTTCATGCCAGTCTCCAGTTAAGAATGGGGCAAACACATCTTTGAAAATGTCCAAGTTTGGGGTTTTCTTAGTTTAGAAAGGCAGCTCTTAAAGAGAGAGAGAGATTCAAGTGTTTCTAAGGTTTAGGAGGCTCCAATTTGAGAGACCCACATTGACTGAGCCAACATCCCTGAGGAATGGGGGCCTAGGCTGGAGTTCTATGAGCTATTTCTAAGACTTGGGTCTTTGTGATGCTCTCCATATGAAAGACTGGGCTCACATCAAGTAACATTTTTCATTGTTCAGTGTGGCCAGGTTGCCCATTATGGAAAATACAAACACCGTGGCAGTCACTGAGATAACCATGTTGAGAAGAGCCACAGCAAAGGCATCCACGATGCAGTTGTTGGACCGAGGGACGTATGAGCTGATTGCAGTGAAGCTGCCAAAGCCGGAGCCCATGGACAAGAAGAGATGGTTCCCTGTCCGGCGCCACACTTCCATAGAGTACAGGGCTGGCACCTGGGGAGAAGAAGTGCCGTGCAAATTGGTATCTAACGGGGAGAGAGGCACACGGTGATGGAGATGGATGAGCAGAAGGGAGTGGGGGGGAGCTCGGAGGGCCTCTACCAGACTGACAACCATTGGGGTAAGAGGATTAAAGGGTGGGGGGCACCTCACCTTAGCAACCAACAAACTCTGGAGACCAAATCCTGCTCCTTTCAGCATGAGACTCCGGGCAAGGACACAGAAAAAGATGATGTAGGGAAGGAATACTGAGACATACAGCATCTGGGTAGGAAGTGTGGTTGAGAAAAAGAGCTCAGCAAAGGCAAAAGCTAGGAGAGGAGGATCAAAGCTATTGGGAATCAGAGGTCCTATTAGGAGGAGTGAGAAGTGGAGACCTACAGGCATCGGGTTGGGAGAATGTTAGGGGTCTCAGGTAGAAGGGAGTCCATCAGATTAGTAAGTTAGAGGTAGCTCACCTTTCCAGTGGACTTCGGCCCTTTGATCATGGAGATGCAAATAATTAACCAGGTCACAAAGAGAGAGACACTGAGGTGCATGACTGGTAGCCCACCTATCTCAATTTCATCTGTGACCTTCAGTACATGCCGGTACCAGAAGTATACGGTGGACGTTGTCCGTGTACATTCAGGATCTGAGGTGAACTGGCCATGGAGGAAACTGCAAGCCCAGGTACTTCCCCTTCTTCCCCTTTACCCCTCCCCCCAGTCCCATTTCATCACCCGCCTGCTCATCTCTATTCTCTCAACAATCCTCTTCTTTCTTCATTCCCCTGTTCTTTTCTCAGCCCTCCCACTTGCCCTTTTCTTCCCTCTCTTCTCACCAAAATTACTGGAGTTCCTCAGTAAGGGACATAATTCCCAAGGCAGTGGAGACTGGAAAGACTGAGCCAAATAGTAGAGACTCCAAGCCATGAGCACACTATAGTACAAGCCCACGATGAAGCATACCTAGGGACCATGAAGAATTCTGGAGGCAGGGGAAGAAAGGTAGGCCAGCAGAAGGGAGGGGATTTGACAGGGGATTGGGGAACTGAAGGGATTTGACCAAAGGAAGTGAAATCAGGGAACTCATTCCAGGACAAGGGTTGGGATAGGGGATGGTGTAAAGGGTAGGCCTGGGCAGCCCAGGGCTCCTCACCAGGAGGCTGGTATACCCCACACCACCAATCCAGGGGCTGATGTTCTTCCACACACCAATGCTGCTCTGACGAATCCTCTGACCAACTGCCATCTCCAGCACAAGGAGAGGAAACCCGACCAAGAACAGCATAAGGACGTAGATGATGACAAAACTCCCTGTGCAAGGGATTCAGGAGGGGCTCTGAGGGCCATCTGGCTTTTTAGTTCCTGGACTTTCTCGGGAGTCCAGGAAAACACGTTCCCTACCAGTGACCTCTCTCAGGGTCAAGGGCATCAGGCTTCAACTATTTCTACATCCCTCACAGTCCCAGGTGTCCAGTCCCTCAGTCCCCAGTTCCTAGAAGACCCAGATACTTAGTTTCTACTCCCAGTCCTGACCCATACCTCCAGCCCTACCATCCTTATGAACCCAAGTATTTCGATGTCCTGCTCCCACCCTGCCAAGGTCCTAGGTGTTCACATACTTGGCTCCTGCCCCATTCAGGATTTAAAAATCCTCAGCCCTACGTATCTCAGAGGCCCCAGAGTAGCCAGGACTAGCCTCTGGTTCCTCCTCCCTTCATGGATTCGAGATTCCTGGTCCCCAGGCTTACCACCTCCGTTGTGAAAACACAGATAAGGAAAGCGCCAGATGGTGCTCAGCCCAATGGAGTAGCCCACTTGGGCCAGGAGATACTCCATTTTATTGGCCCAGGATGGTCGGTCAATGAGGCCTCCATCCTTTTGCTCATTTTTGTCTATGCCTTTGTAATTATCTTCAAGCCAGTCAAAATTCTGTCCCTCCCCATGCAATGCCTCAGTAAGCAACAACTCGGAGTTTTCTAGTCGGGAAACTGAGGTAGTAGTAATCACAGACTTGGAATCTGAAGATGCAGCAATCATGGACTTGGAATTTGAAGATCCGGCAATCGCGGTCTTGGAATCTGAAGATCCAGCAATCGCGGACTTGGAATCTGAAGATATAGCAATCGTGGACTTGAAATCTGAAGAGCTAGTAATCACGAATTTGGAATCTGAAGATCTAGCAATCACCAACTTGGAATCTGAAGATCTAGCAATCATGGATTTGAAATTGGGAGATCTAGCAATCACGACCTTGGAATCTGAAGACCTAGATATCACAGGTTGGAAATCTGAAGATCTAGACATCTGGGAATTATCACCTTGGGACTCCTTGTTTTCACTAATAGTCATCATCCTGAGTAGACTCTAGTTCCTGCTTCTGCAGGGATGGGGCCTCCTTCTTTCTTGACCTTAAGGATATAAAGAACTTTAGATTTTAGTTGTATGAGCTAAGGAAAGAAAAGACCAATCTTACAAAAACCCAAGGCTTCCCCAACCCTTTTATACTTGTGTGGATAGGAACATGGAGTCCCCACCATCCTGGAAAAGATACCAAGAATATGCCTGCCTCTAGAAAGTAATAATTTAGAAGTAATACCTTCTATAATAATACCAAAAGGCATATAATGCCTAGGAATAATTTTAACAAAAGCTGAGCAAGACCTTTACACACACACACACACACACACACAAACACATTATTAAGAGAAAATAAAGAAGCCCTAAATAAATGAAGGGATATAACATGCTCATGAGTTGAAACTCTCCAAGTATAACAAAGTCAATTCTCTCCTATTTGACTTATAGATTCAATGCAATTCCTATTGAAATCACAGCAGGATTTTTGTAAAAATTGACAAGAGGGGTCTAAAATAAATGTACATGGAACCCGACTGGTGTGGCTCTGAAGTTGAGCATTGACCTAGGATCCAGGAGAACGCAGTTTGATTCCTGGTCATGGCACATGCCCGGGTTCTGGGCTCGATCCCCAGTGCGGGGCTTGCAGGATCAATGACTCTCTTATTATTGATGTTTCTATCTCTCCCTCTCTGTTCCTCTCTCTGAAATCAATAAAGACATATGTTTAAAAATTAAATAAATGGGTGAATTGTATGGTATGTAAATTATATCTCAATAAAGCTGTTAAAAAAGATAAAGCTACCAGAAAAAAATGAGACAGGAAAATCTGAATACTGACTAAATATTTGATATTAGGATTACTGTTATTTATTTTAGGTGTGATAAGTTTTGTCAGTTTTTTAAAGGGTTCTTATATTTTAGAGATAGGTACTGATGACATATCTACAGATGAAATGATAAATTTGGGATTTGCTTCAAAACCTTGGGGAGGCATGCACTGGGTGAGGAGAGATGAAACCACATTGGTGATGAGTACAAAGAAATTCATTGCTATTCTTTTGTACGTGTTTGAAAATTTCCAAAATAAAAGGGTCAGTGGCTCTACCCATCAGTCATTGTGTGCATCCCTTTTTCTTCCAGGTCTCCTGATGAAAACTGAGGATGATAATACCTGTATGTCATACCACCCTCATGAGGAATAGAAGTGAAGACGTGTGTAAGGTATCCTACCTAGGGATGGGGCTCTGGTTTGTCTAATAAGGCCAGAGATTTCTCACAGCCGTCCAGGAGATAACCCCTCATACACAAGGGTACCCCGAAACCGGGCTTTAGACAATAAGGACCCCCAGAGCTACGTAGAGAAGTGCCCATGATAGAAACCAGTCTTCCACTGTAATCAGTACCCCCTAGCAAACTGAGATATTCCCAATTCAAACAATTCTGCCGTTAGGTGCCAAAAGACCTTCAACAAGTGGCCTGAGGAAAGAGAAATCTAGAGCAGGAGGGTACACGCCGCGATCTTCATTCCACTCCCACCCGTTTATCTGGTTTATCCGGTAAGCCCCTACTTCCCAATACCTCTCCCGCAGGTTCTGCTCCCAAAGCTGGAACTAGAGGTTGGGGAGCAGAAAGGGGATGAACTCCTGGGTTCCCAAAAGGAAGGCGCCTGAAAACTCAGGCGATCTGCTCACGAGAAGGTGACTGCCTCCTCTCTCCCGGTCCCACCTTACCTGACTCGACAGCGCGGGCTCAGGGACAGTTCGTTTGGATGGGGGAGGGGAGGCGGAGCGTGAGGGGCGGGGCTACAAGGTGCAGGAGCCAATGGCTGGGGACGGAGGCTCGCAGCGCGTCCGCCCCACGCTTGAGCGTGAGGGGCGTGGCGAAACTGCGGGAGCCTGGAGGCGTTGGGCCTCTGCCGCCTTCGGTTCGCCAGACCCGCCCCTAGAGTCCCGCCCACCAACGAAAGGTTGGGAATGTCGACTTTTTCTTCCTTTGTCACCGAAGCTTCTGCAGAGGCAATCTCCCTGTGGGAGCTAAGCAAATCCGAAATCCTGGAACCTCTCGAGCATCTAAAGGAAACCCATTCTCTGGATCTTCTGGAATCCCAACCACTTCTACCCACAGCCCCGTCCCCAGCCACTGACTGACTCCATCTCCTTTTGGGGAGTACTTCAGCTCAGTTGTGGTCTCACCACTCCCTCAAGTTCCTTGAGACCCCACTCAGTTTTCCTTCACTAGGTAAATTCATTTGATTTAGCCCTGTGGTGGAAAGATATCTCTTACCAAGTAGCTATGGAACCCTGGTGGGCTCAGCGATACAATTTGGTAGTTCCCAAACACTGTGTGAGTCCACAGATGACTCAGTCTGTGCGTATCACCCAGTCTACAACAGTCTTACTCTTTTTTTTAAATCCTCACCCGAGGATACTTTTTCCATTGCTTTTCAGAGAGAGTGAAAGGGGGGGAGAGAGAGAAAGGAACATCGATGTGAGAGAGACCAATTGGTTGCCTCCTGCACTCACCCTGAACGGGGCTGAGCCCGCAACTAAGGTACATGCCCCTGGCTGGAGTCAAACCAGGGACCCTTCAGTCCACAGGCCAATGCTCCAACCACTGAGCCAAACGGACTAGCCCCCTTTTTTTTTTAAAAAAAATCTTCACCTGAGGATATGTTTTTATTGATTTCAGAAAGAGAGAGGAAGGGAGAGGGGGATAGAGAGCGAGAGAAACACCGATGTGAGAAACATGGATCGGTTGCCTCCCATGCATGCCCGGATTGGGGATTGTACCCGCCACCTGGGTATGTGCCCTGACCAAGAATCGAGCCCACGACCCTTCAGTGCATGGGATGTCACTCCAACCAGCTGAGCCACACTGGCCAGGGAGGTCTTGGAAACTCTTAATGATTTTAGACCTTTGATAGGAGTACCATGTCCATTAGCAAGCACATTAATATCCTTTCCATCATTGTTGAAGCAACCATGTCCTGGGCTTTTCTTGGCTAAAGGCCAGTCCCTGGATAAAACAAATCCAGTAATCTAGCAACTGAATTTGCCATGTCAAGGAGAAGGCAGCAACTCAGGGCCAAATATTTAGCTCTCAAAAGAATGGAAGACTCCTGAGAGTAAGATTGAATATCTGAACTAATTTAATGATGTATGTCAACTGTAATTGAAAATAAAAAATGATTTCTTTAGACAATATCTGCCCAGCAGGGCGTGGCTCAGCAGTTGAGCACCGATCTATGACCCAGGAGATAGAGGTTCGATTCCTGGTCAGGGCATATGCCTGGGTTGCAGGCTTGATCCCCAGTGGAAAGCATGCAGGAGGCAGCCAATCAATGACTCTCATCATTAATGTTTCTATCTTTCTCTCTCCTTCTCCCTTCTCTCTGAAATCAATAAAGATATATTTTTTAAAGAAGAAGAAAAGACAATATGAGACATTTATAGAAAATAAAACAGATCTGCTCACACCCAGTTCCTGGAGTCCCAGTGGACTGATTTATTGACCAATAGCATTACTCCTCCAGCTCCATACCAGTCAGGTTCAGTTGGCATTACTGACAGTGTATGTGAGTGGCTTGTGTACACACTGAGGAGGGGGATGGGAAAAGTGACAGTGGCAACCAGAGGGGGTCTAGAAGGGGGGCTGCAAAGCCAGGACTAAGAGGCCCTTAAATAAAGCCCCTACTCTTGGGAATAAAAGGAGTTCTGGGTCCAAGGACATCAACAGTTGGTAGTTGATATTGAGTTGCCTGTTAGATCTGTTTTGAGGATATGTGATATCAGGCCACATCAAGGAAGTTGGGATATCACACAACTGGTGGATCAGCAGTTTCATTGTCACCTTATATGACTTCCTTCTTTTGGACCTCTTTAACGGGTCTTAGATGGGATCTTAGGGGTTGGGATTTGGAGGGTATGTGAGACTCATCCAAGCTCATCGATTTGAGGGGAATGCGTTGGGTGAGGTAGTATAAAATGTACATGGGGATGGGGAGGATGACAGTGAGGGAAAGGGCAATCATCGAGAGCACCCCCCATGACGGGTATTGTCGAAGCGTCTCTTTTGACTGTGGAGAGATGGGAAGAGTTCAGAACATTGAAGCTCCCAGAAGAGGAAAGATTGTGAAAGGGAAGAGTAGGAGGGGAACCAGGGCAGACGACTGAGTCTTCAGGGAGAGGAGAGTGAGATAGGGTATTTAGGTCAAGAGTGGGCTGAAAGATCTGTCCCCCGCTCCCTAGAAAGGTCTGGGGTCTGGAGAGGGAGGCTCACACTGCTTGAGTCCCAGGCCACATAGGTGATGTTCTTCAGAGGCAGAATAATCATGGTGGCAGAAAACAGGACTATCAGCGCAATTGGAGACAGACAGCACCATAGCCAGAAAAAGATGGGATAGATGGGGTAGCCCCACAGAGTCTCCAAGTCTTCAAGAAACCTGGGAAAAAGGGCGATGAGACTTTGGGAGGCCCAGTTGCACCTTGCCCTTCCTTGGGGGACAAAGCAAGTCTGAGCTTTGTTAGCATCTTTCAAATATTCTACCTCACTTCCAAACCCCTGCTTCAGCTCAAGCCTCATCCTCTTATCTTCTCTCAACCCAAGAAAACATTTCAGACATTCCTCTACTGCTCAAAAATCTTTCATGGGTACCCAATGTCCTTAGGATAAAGGCCAAGTCCCTTTCACTAATTCCCTAAACATGAGAGTGTTTATGATGTGCCAGAAACTCTTCTAGGTGCTGGGTACTCATAGTGAGCAACACAGGCCCCCCAAAAGTTAACACTTGACCCTCAGGGAATTTTCTCTTTTTTTAATCCTCACCTAAAGATATTCTTTCCATTACTTTTCAGAGAGAGTGGAAGGGGGAGAGAGGGGAAAAAACATTGACATGAGAGAGACTGATTTGTTGCCTCCCGCATGCGCCCCAATCAGGACTGGGGATCGAGCCTGCAACAGAAGTACATGCCCTTGACCAGAATTGAACCTGGGACCCTTCAGTCCGCGGGCTGACGCTTTAACCACTGAGCAACAGCCAGGGCCCAGGGAACTTTTCCTAGTTTCTTCTAGCCCATGCATCCAGACTCCTTTAGTGCATGTTCTCAAACTTAGTAAGTATACAAGTGGGGTCCTTTGGCCTAGAGTACTGTTTTCTGTCTACCTATTCATCTGTCCAGATTCTACTCAATCATCCTCTCCCCTAACACACCTTCTCTGACTTTCCAGGTGCCCCTAGAGTGCCGCTGGCACCTCTCCTCTAGACTTATTGCTTTGTACTGATTGTCCACTTGTATGTGTCTTCTTCTTTGGACTCTGGGCTCTGAGAGGAGGACCTAATTCTAATTCCTTTGTATCCCAGTACCACAGGCTTTCTCCACACAGAGAAAGTCTCAAGAAATATTTGTGGAGTGAGTTCATAAATGAGCCGCTGTCACCTGAAAACGCTGCCAACCGAGCCTTCTGCCCTTGAAATATACCACTTGGATATCCACGTACCAGCCTGATAAAAAGCTGGGCTCAGGAGCACCATGTGTGACTTGGATTCTCCCACTCTCCCATTCCACAGATATGTCTACTAGCTCCCAGTCCCTGATTCTTTTGTTTCCTCCTCCTGGTCACTCTTCCTTGAAGAATTAGACCACACCTCTCAATCTGCCCCTCCACCCCCCTAGCCCAAGCCATTGTTAGTTCCTATTTAAAAGATTATTGTACAATAGCTCACTACTGCTCTCATTCCTTCACTTTCAACTCCTCATAGTCTATTCTACACACAGTAATTACAGGCATCTTTTAAAAAATCTGATTATGTCACTCCCCTATTCAAAACACTCTAATGCCTCCTCTATCATTCTGCATAAAAAACTAAGTCCCACTATAGTGCCAAAGGCCCTACCTGATGCCCCTTTACCTCTCCAACCTCAGCCCCTAACATTCTGCTCCAACCTCTCTGATCTTCCTCAGAGCCTGCGGGCAACACGCTTCTCTTACTTTGGTACTTATTGCTCCCTCTGCTTGGAACACACTTCCTTAGAATTTTTCATGGGGCCTACCCTCACTTCATTCAGGAGTCTGTTCAAATGTCACCTTATCGGAAAGGACTTCCCTGTAATCCTATCTCAACTAACATCCATACAAACTCCCCTTCTGGATCATTTTACCTTCCCCTGTGATTTCCTCTTGTCAATTACTACCATATAATATTTTTGCTCACTTAGTGACTATCTCTGCCACTAGAATGTAAATTCCCTGAGAACAGGTATGCTTATTTTATTTGATACCATATTCCCAGTGACTAAAAGTGCCTGGCACATACTAAGCACTCAATAAATATGTTAAATGAGTAAATTAAAAAGTTTCTTAACAGGCCCTGAAGTTAAGAGTCCCTGTGTCACTCTAGTTGAGTGAGAATGGAGGTAAAAAGAAAAGGTCACCCTTCCCTATAGACCCAAGTGATCACCTCCTGGCCCCATAGGCCCAGGCCACGGCTATGTTTTCAAATATGACAATGATCATTATGGGGAGGATCATCCAGTAGTCACTCAGCAGTCTGATGTAGTAGACGCCTGAAGGTTGAATGAAGAAGAAGCTGCACAGGAACATGAACCCAAAGACAAACCCTGGAGGAAACAATGAACCTGGATGAAGGTCAGAGGTCTTGCTGGGGGAAAGGCTGAGAGAGGTGATGCCCGGGCTGGGTTAGAGTCTCAGAAAGCAGGGTCATTGATGGGAATAGGGCCAAAGGTCAGAGCACCTGTAAACAGCTTTGCATGCTTCCTGAAAAAAGAAAAGGTGTCCTGGAGTGAAGTGAGGATGCTCTGCATGATCCCCATCATGACATTCAGCCCCAAGGTCAGCAACATCAGGAAGAAGATGATGGACCAGAAGACAGACCCCGAAGTGAATGACATGGCTTCAACAAAGGTCAGGAATGCAAACTTTGGGCCCTCCGCAACCTGTCAGGGGAAGGAAAGGCAGGAGTTAGTGTCCTTGAACTTAACAGCAACATTAGAGATAAAAATGCATTCTACCTTCCCTGGCGAACTCCCTGAAAGCCCTGGGTCACTGAGAAAATCAGATCTCCAAGCCGACCCCTGACATGGAAAACCAATCCACCCAGCACCAGCCAGGGAAGGGCATTCTGCAAGCTATATTTCTTTGCATTACCAGGGCTGCAGGTTATCCTGGTGTTTCTGGATTTTTTTTTTTTTTTCTGGTGCTAATAAAAGGTGAAATTTCTGTTTTACAGAAGGCATTGAGAAACTCTCAGCCCAGCACACCTATTTACTGACCTTCGAAAACTGCTTCTCTATGTTGCACTCAGTAATGTGGCTGAGGACCATGTTCTTGATGGGCTGGGGAAGGCTGTTGAGCCAGGAGTTGAAGACAGTGGTTGAGTCACCTTTCGTGGGTAGAGGGGACTGGGCCTCAGGAGGCAGTTCCCCCAGGGTTACCAGCTTCAAAAGCAATTCAGCATTCCTGGGGATAAAGGGTTGAATCTCACAGAACCATTTGGCTCCTTAGGACACCGTCTCCTTTCCCTTATCTCCCAGATAAGAAAAGACATCACTAGCGTAGCATTACTGATTTGGATAAGGTAGAGCCTAGATGAAACCAAGCAGGCACCCACCTTCAGGATCATGAATTTGTGTGAACCTGGAAAATGTATAACCATGGGGGACTCTGGGAGAAGTCTTTCCTATAGTCTTCTTGTGGACTCTGAGGTCCCTGGTCTAGTGATGCAGTCTCTTATTCACCCCCTACCTCTGCCCTTCCTTCTGCCTTAGACTAGCAGGTAAAAATCAACCTTCTAAGCTTTGCATACAGAATAGTGGGAACTCCCTTGACTTAGGTGATGGCATGCGTAATTCTCCCATGGTGCTGAGTGATGAGAGAGCAACTGCTTCTTGGACTTTTTGACCTGAGCTCTGCTGACCTCTCTCACCTTATCTTTCCCCCATGACCCTCTGAAACGTGCAGAGGGTCATGGGGGGAACATACTACTACAGTTTCAGGGCCTGCCATAGCTTCTCATGCCCAAGACCAGTCCCACCCTCGCCACCATTCTCCACTTGGCTAATACCTACAACTCCTTAAACACAGCTCATTGCTCCGTAAGAGCTGCAGTGGAAGGTTTGCCTACACTTACTGATAAGAGCAAAATGTAAGCTGCAGGAAAATAAGTAGCGTTTGATCACATTGTAGAAAATAAAATACTGTACGTTCTTCTGGTAACAGGCAAGTTAAATATCTGGACCAACCTTCTCACTGGAAATAATTTAAAAGCCTGAAAGGTAATTTGTAATCTTCTTAAAAGAATAAAAATGATAACAATAAGGAATTATTAGACAAAAATCAAAGTACAGACAGAAGCAGTAGGGAAAGGGGACATCCAAAGCAACTTTGCCCAGAAGATATATGTCAGATACAACACATGCATGTGTGCACATGTATATGCCCCGGCTTCTTCTAGAAGAAAAGGGTGGTTATTTGCGTGGGTTAGGACTACTAGGGACACATTCAGCTTAGCTTTACCTCCTCTAGAAGTTCTTCTCTGACCAGCCCAGGCAGAATGAATGGCTCTGTCTTCTGTCCTCCCTATCACTCCTGCTACCAGTTACCACGAGTTAATGACTGTAGTCTAAGTATCTAAATCCCTTCCTTTCCTCCCTCCAAAACTGAAAACACAATGAAAACAAGGACTGTGGTCTGATTCACCTGCCCAAGTGTCTGTGGCACACAAAGAGTACTTTCTAAACACCTGAGGGGTGTTTTTTATTAATGCCTACAGAATAAAACAGGGCTGAGAAGACGATAGAGGTTCTAGTTCTGAGCATACTCTTGGGGCTTATGTATGACAAATTGAATGAAACCCCTAATTCAGGAGTTGACAGTGAAAAATGACAGCATTAGAGGGCAGAAGGGAATTTGGAAAGGTGTGGCCTTAGTGCAGTCTGGGACTAGAGTAACCTTGAAGATTTTCCACTTTTAGCATTTCTCTGTAGAGGTACTCTCTGGTGAACAGTTGGGAGATCTCTGAGTTTGAAGATTTCTAGGGCTAGAAAAAAAAAAAAAAAGCATTCTGAGAAGGATAATCTGGGACAGGGGTTCTATTTTCTGTTTTTCGTTCTAGGAGAAAGCGCTCTTGGGAGTGCACCTGAGGTTGCCCTTGTGGTTGAGATGTGTGAATGTGGGTCTTTGCAGAACCTGGAAGGTTAGAGTCTCTGGGTTTTGTAGTTCCCTGAGGCTGAGACTCTCAACTAAGGGGCTGGCCTTACTTCTCAGTGCAGTTGTTCGTGATGACGCTGGCCCAGGAGCCCAGGATACAGAAGACAAAAGGTATGGCAATAACCATGAAGCTCAGGTTGGCCAGAGCCACAACAAAGGCATCAATGAGACAGTTGTTGGACGGATCCACGTACGAGGATAAAGAGACAATGGGGCCAAAGCCGAGACCCAAGGCAAGTAAGACTTGGGCCCCTGCTTGGGACCAGGTATTCACGGTGTACATAGCTGATCCCTAAAAGGCAGAACACAAGAATAAAGAGAGATGTCAAACAAGAGGAGAACCTTGCCCGGCCAGGCGTGGCTCAGCAGTTGAGCGTCAACCTAGGATCCAGGCGATTGGGGTTCGATTCCCGGTCAGGGCACATGCCCGGGTTGTGGGCTCGATCAATGACTCTCTCATCATTGATGTTTCTATCCCTCTCCCTTCCTCTCTCTGAAATCAATAAAGATATATTTTTTAAAAAAAGAAAAAAAGAAGAGGAGAACCTTAACAAAATAAGGGGGGAAGACAGAGGGAGCTAGTGGGGAAAGGACACCTAAGGATAGACAATAGGTGTCCTCTAAGGTCTGATGGGGAGTGAAGAAGACATACTTTACCTTCACAAGCGTCAAATATTGAAGGCCGAATCCTGCCCCACTCAGCTGTAGACTCCGGATGAGCAAACAGACCAAGAGAACATGGGGCATTGGTAACAAGACAGATATTACCTGAATTGAGAGTGGGGCATCTCAGCAACCATGTACCAGTGGGGGGCCAACCAACAGTCAGCAGGGATCAAAAATTCTTAGCCAGAAATGAGGAGTTAGAAGATAGCTTTCAGCAGGGTTCAGGGCTAGTGGGAGTGAAAAGCCAGAGGGAGCGAGAAATCGTAAGATCAACGAGTAGTAATGTTAGGTGAGGGCTAAAGTATCTGAGACTGTTAAGGAATCCAAAAATGGTGGCTCACCTTCCCGATGTACTTGATCCCATTAATCATGAAAGCACCAAGAAGACACCAAGCCACCAAAAGTGGCAAGATCAGACTGAAGGCTGGTGGCCCATTATCCTCAATTCTGTCTGAGACCTTCAAGGTCAGCCGGTACCAGAAGTACATGGAGGGTGTTGTCTGTGCACATGCCGGATCTGGGGGTATCTGGCTTTGGACTTGCTTGCTAGACAGGGTGGCCCTTCCCCTCTTCATTAGCCCTCCCCCCACATCCCTTCCGCTCATTTCTGCTTCCTTTACTACCTGCCTCCCTTTTATCCCTCCTCGCTCCTTCCTCCTCTTCCAAATTCCCTCCCTCCCACCTCCCTTTCCCCTCTCTCCTCCTCTTTCACTTCCTTCTCACCAAAGTCAGTGGAGTTCTTCAGTAGAGGACAGTGCTCCCATGGAACGGAAAACTGGAAGGCCTGGCTCAAGTAGTAGAGGGTCCAGGCATTGACCACATTCAAGTACGCGCCGACAATGAAGCACACCTGTGGGGCCAGGGAGGCGGTGGCTGGGGAGGAAAAGTGGGGACAGGAAAAAGGAGGGGATTTGACAGGGGACTGGGGAACTGAAGGACTTGACTCATGGTAGTGAAATCAGGTGACCCATTCCAGGACAAAGGTTGGGATGCAGGTGGGGTATAAAGGATAGGCCTGGGCAGCAGGCTCCTCACCACGAAGCTGGTATACCCCACACCACCAACCCAGGGGCTGAGGCTCTTCCATGCACCAATGCTGCCCTGACGCATCCTCTGACCAACTGCCATCTCCAGGAAGAGGAGAGGAATCCCGATCAAGAACAGCAAGAAGATGTAGATGATGAAAAAACTCCCTGTGCAGGGGATTTAAGTAGGGGCTCTGAGAACCATCTGGCTTGTCAGTGCGTGGACTTCTTTGACAGTCCAAAAAAACACATGCCTCACCAGTGATCCCCCTCAGGGCCACAGGCATCAAGACTCAACTATTTCCACATCACTTACAGTCCCAGATGTCCAGCCCCTTGGCCCCCAAATCCTGGAAGACCCAGATACATAGTTTCCACCCCTAGCCCTGATACAGGCTTCCAGCCTCACTGTCCTCCTGTTCAGATACACTGAACCTCTGCCCCTCTCACCATCCTCAGTGTTCAGGCACCTGGCTCCTATCCTGCTCAGAGTACCAAGTCTCTAGCCTCCACATATTCCAGAGACCTTGGAGTTTGAACCTGGATAGGCCTCTGTCTTGCTAGCCCCCAGTGGACCCATGATTCCTGGTCCCCGGACTTACAACCTCCATTTTGAAGCCACAGGTAGGGAAAACGCCAAAGATGGATTGCCCTCAGGGAGTAGCCTATCTGGGCCATCATGTACTCAATCTTGCTGAACCAAAGTGGACGAATGAGGAGGACCTCACTATTTTCCTTCTCTGATATCGCCACCTTAAGTGAGGGTTTCCGTTTCGGGAATGGGGCAGCTTCCACCCCCAAATGAGGGATTTGCTTGGGTTGGCTGCTCCTTCTCCGAGCAGCCTGAGTCTCCCAGGCCTGAGCCTTCGCAGCTCGGTCCTCCAAAGCCTGGGACTCTGAAACACAGGGCATCAGAGACCGGTTCCCTATGTCCTTGTTTTCCCAAATCTTGCTTCCTGGGAAAGGCTCTAAAACGGTTGACTCAGTAGATGATATTCTTGCCAGTGAAGACTGTAAAGACTGTGAAGACTGGGCCTCTCCAGACAGGCTCTCTAGAGCAGATTCCACTTTTTCAAGGGAAAGTCTGCCTTCCTGAGTAGACCTTAAGGACACCAAAGACTAGATTTTAGATTTCAGATATAAGGAGACTGAGTTTCAAAATAATCCTCAACATATCTTTAAAGCAAACCTTTTATTTCTGTCCCTACCACCACTGAAATTCAAAGCACAAACAATAATCTGATGTAAGTTTTACTTCTTAGAACTTGATGCACAGGATAAGGGCAGAGATAAGTAAGCTAACAATAGCCAGGAATACCACTCAGAGTTTTTGAAAACATTAGGTGTACTTCCTACAGAGGGAGGTACCATTTTTAGTGGGCTTTTGAATCAAAGAAACTAATTTAGTACTAAATCTGCCTTTCACCCTAGGAAAGTTGTTTTCCCTCTCTGAGCTTTCTCATCTGTAAAACACCCAGGTCTCTGCTCAGATATCACCTCACCAGAAGTGCCTTCTTTGCCCACCTATCTAAAATAGCAGCCTACCTATCCACCACTCTCCACCCCACCCACTTTTACTTTTCTTCGTAGCATTTCTTACCTCCCACTGTGACTAACTATTGGCTGTTAGTCTGGTTACCTCCGTCCCCCCTAGCTGCTCTACCCCAGGAGGGCATGGTGCTCTACCTCATATTGGGGCCACTCTCCTCTCTGCTCTCTGTGCTTCCACCACTCTGACCTTCCGGTGACTCCTCAAATATGCTACAAGAGAATGGGCAGAGAGTGTGCTGAAAAACAACAGAAAGAACAGGGTGCGATGAGTTCACTGATCAATTCTAACAAATATTTAGAGAAGAAATTATACTAATTCTATACAATCTCTTTCAGAGGATAGAAGCAGAGGGAATGCTTCCTAACTCATTCAAAGAGACTAGCATTACCGCGATACCAAAAACATTACAAAAAAGAAAACTACTGATCTATATCTCTCATTAACAGAGATACAAAAATCCTAACAAAATATTAGCAAACCTAATCCAACAGTGTATAAAAAGAATTATATACCATAATCAGGTGGGATTTATCCCAAGTATGCAAGATTGGTTCAACATTCAAAAATCAGTTAATGTAATCCATCACATCAACAAGCTAAAAAATAAAAATCACATAATTGTATCAGCAGATGCAGTGAAAGGTTTTGAAAATTCCAACACCTATTCATGATTAAAACTACATAAATAAACTAGGAATAGAGAGGAATTTCCTCAACTTAATAAAGAATACTTAGAGCCCTGGCCGGTATTGCTCAGTGGTTAGAGCGTTGTCCCACACACCAAAGGGTCACAGGTTTGATTCCTGAGCAAGGACACATACCTGGGTTGCAGGTTCAATCCCTGGCCTCAGTCGGGGCATGTGTGAGGGGCAACCAATCGATCTCTCTCTCTCTCTCTCTCATTTTATCTCCCTCCCTTTCCTAAACCTCTCCCCCTTCCAATCTCTCTCTAAAAAAAAAGATATATATAAACACATATATATATGTATAGATAGATAGATGATAGATAGATAGATAGATAGATAGATAGATAGATAGATAGATAGATAGATAGATAGATGATAGATATATCGCCCTGCCGGGCGTGGCTCAGCGGTTGAGCGTCAACCTAGGATCCAGGAGATCGAGGTTCAATTCCAGGTCAGGGCACATGCCCGGGTTGCGGGCTCGATCCTCGGTGGGGGGCAGCCGATCAATAACTCTCTCATCATTGATGTTTCTCTCTCTCTCTCTCTCTCCCCTCTCCCTTCCTCTCTGAAATCAATAAAGATGTATTTTTTAGAAATTAATTTAAAAAAATTATTTTAAATTAATGGGGAAAAAATATCCTCAGGTGAGGATTAACAACAACAAAAAAGAATATTTACAAAAAACCTACAGCTAACACCATGCTTACTGAAACTAGAAGCTTTCCCAATAAGAGCAGGAACAAGGCAAGGATGTCCCCTCTCACTGACTCCTTTTCCATGTCATACTATAAGTCCTAGTTAATGCAGTAGGGCAAGAGAAGGAAATAAAAGGCATACACATTGGGAAAGAAGAAATGCAACTGTCTTTGTTCACAGATGACATGACTGTCTATGTAGATATCCAAAAGAATTGACAAAAATGCCCTGGAACTAATAAGCTATTATAGCATAGCTGCAGGATACAAGGTTAATATACAAAAGTCAATCACTTTCCTACAACAATGAACAAGTGGAATTTGAAACTAAAAACATAATTCCATTTACATTAGCACCCCCCAAAATGAAATACTCAGGTATAAACCTAACAAAATATGTTCGAAATCTATAGGTAGAAAATTGATGAATGAAATCAAAGAATTAAATAGAAAGATGTTCCATGTTCATGAGTTCTTCCTAGCTGGATCTATAGATTCAATGCAATCCCCAACTGTGTTCCACTAAAAAAAAAAAGAAAAAAAGAAACTTGTGCTCATGAAAAATATATCCCCCTTTCTTGAACACATTCAAGACGTGTGTTCCTTAAAACAAGTTCCGGGCTTTTGTTTTTGGGTGTGTGTGTGTGTTGGTGAATTGGTAATATGACCCTTCAGGGACAGAACTGAGTTTTGGCAAACTTGGATTCTGCAAACTGGCCACTTGGGACACTTATCAGGCCTGTTGGTCTCCTGGTAGACCCTTCTTCGAAGCTGGAGAGGTCCTGGTGATGGTCCAAGTGTGAGACCCAACATCGTCCCCAACAAGCCTGTAATGGGATTGCAACTGGTGTCTGCTGTCCAGGAACTTGAACCAACGCATTTCACCAGCGAGTTGCCCCAGCCAAGGTCCGTGTGCAGCCCGGGCCTGGGAACCGGATCACAGTCAATGAGCAAAGGGGCTAAGGCCAGCTTCTTGGATTCGAGGGGAGAAAAAAGGAGGGACCTCTGAGGCCTCTTTGACCCCTCAGTTCCAAAGAAGCTGTGGCGGCCAGCAGGCCCGGGTCCCATGGCCTGTACCCTGTTACCTCTCGGGAGTGGCACCGGGCCACACACACCCCAGGTCTATACACGATTCGGGGCGCCCTAGCGCTGTCATCCTCACCCCAGCCTCGAGGCCTGGCTGCTTTGGTCTGGTCAGTTAGGCGAAAACAAGGGTGAAGAAGCCTCAACTGAGAAGTCTAGCGACCATCTCAGGCCGCTTTAGGCCTCGTGAGACCGCCAGCTCGAGGCCTCAGTTCCTCTGCGCATGCGCCACGCTCTCCTCCTGGCACACGTGACCTAGCAGCTGATTCTGCCCCTCTGTCCTTTTCAACACCCTCCCTCCCTGCACGCACGCACGCACGCACGCACGCACGCACAGGTCCTACGTCCACGCTTGCGCTTATGCTTCTCTTGCTTCCCTCTTTGGACCGTGGGCCCGACCCACCTGCCACAGACACACAGAGTGGAGTGTTTATTACTCAGCCACAAAAAAGAAGGAAATCCTACCATTTGCGACAACATGGATGAAACTGGAGGGCATTGTGCCAAGTGAAATTAGCCAGACAGAAAAAGACAAGCCCTGGCCAGTGTGGCTCAGGGATTAGAGCGTCAGCGGACACCGACGAGTGGTAGGTTCAATTCCCAGTCAAGGGCACGTGCATGGGTTGCGGGTCCGCGTGTGGCAGACAACCCGTAGATGTGTCTCTTCCTCATCAATGTTTCTGTTTCTCTCGCTCTCTCCCCCCTTCCCTCTCTCCCTCCCTTCCTCTCACTCTCTGAAAAGCAATGGAAAAAAATATCCTCAGGTGAGGATTAACAAAAAGAAAAAAGAAAAAGACAAAATGTCATTTACATGTGAAATCTAAAAAAAAAAAAATTTTTTTTCTTTTTTAGAGTAACTGAGTAGAATGGTGGTTGCCAGCGACTGGAAATGGGGAGATGTAGGTCAAAGGGTATAAACTTTGTCATAAGAAGAATAAGTTCCCAGGATCTAATTTACAGCATGGTGCCTATAGTTAATAATACAGTATATTGTATACTGGAAAGTTGCCAAAAGTAGTTCTTCAGTGTTCTAACCACACACACAAACTATGAGATGATGAATGTGTTATCTTAAGGTTGGTAAATCATTCCACAATGTGTGTTTATCAAATCATCACGTTGTACACTTTAAATACATACAATTAGATTTGGCAGTTAATTCCTCAATAAAGTTGGGGAGGGGAAGCCCAGAGTCAAAAATCGGAATACTATTACTATGAATTGATTTTTGATGACAATAAGAAAATAAATTGCATTTTGAGCCTTAAAAAAAAGATAGCAGATGAGATTTCTTAGAAGAGAGAAAGGGTGATGTATGCCTAAGAGGAGCTGGTTTTCCAGGGCTTGGATGGATGTCAGGATGGTAGGAACATCTGTGAGGATTTGGGACTTGACAAGAATGGGGAGCCTGTGGGGTTCCAGGGGAGACTTCAGAGGCTGCTAGGCAGGCAGCTCAGGCGTAGAGACCATCAGGTACTGCAAACCCGGATCTAACTGCCAAGGTCCCAGGCTTCATCCTGACTCCTCTAGGCCCTCCTCCTCTAAGGGCCTCACTGCAGAGGCAGGAAGTACTGCCTGAGGCTCAGCTTCCGCTATGGGTGTTTGGCACTGCTCAGCCACCCCTCACTCCCAGGGACCTTCCCACTTGGGGCCTGCAGCACTTTCACTTCCCCCAGGTGCCCAGCCCATGCCCCAGCACAGGGGAGCACCTGGCCTACACTTGTTGCCGAAAACAGGATGCAGACTCTGAGAGAGGGGCAATGACAGAAGTGTGTGTGTGTGTGTTGGGGGGGGGGTGATCAAGAGAGGAAGGAGGACAGGCATGCAGAGAAGGGGCCAGAAACCCAGAGAGGGAGAGGATAGAGACTCCGAGGTTTGGGGAGAGAGAAACCCAGAGAGAAGTGGACAGAGACGCAGAGAGGAGATAAAGACTCGGAGAGAAGGGAACAGAGACCCAGAGAGGGGAGGACAAGGAACCCAGGGCTGAGAGGCAAGCACAGAGATGGATGCAGAGATGGCAGAGCTTAGCAGGCAGTGAGGTCAGAGTATCTGTGAGGTCGGCTGCTGTCCAGGGGCAGCCTGGGGTCCTAGTGTCCAGAGGAAGTGGGTACAAGTAGATTTGGAGTCCCTGTGGGTCCCTCAACCTGAGCCATGGAAACCTGGGAGGAACTGCCCAGCGTGGCCTTGGTGTCCACAAATTCCAAGGCCCCTCAGGTACTGGTGTGTATCCCAGTGGAGTGGATGAAGGCGACAGGGACAGAGACAAAGTAAAACCACCTTGTGTGTAGAGGGAGTGGGTGAAGCTCCACCCCTGGCACTTCCTCTTTCTCTGTTCTTCCTTTCTGTCTCTTAGCCTCTCCCTTTCTCGTTCAACGCTTCTTTCTCCCTGTCTCCCCACTGCCAACTCCTCTTCTGGTCACTCACCCCTCCAGGTGAAGATGTCTGCCCAGGACAGCTGCCTCAGCCTCATCAAGTACCTCCTCTTCGTTTTCAACCTCTTCTTTTTTGTAAGTTGTCTCATGGCTACCTAGCCCGGGCCCCAGTCCTTGCCGCAGCTGCCCCACCTCATATCCCTACTTGCCCACCACAGTATTCTCTTCTCCTCTCCGCAGGTCCTAGGCAGCCTGATTTTCTGCTTCGGTATCTGGATACTCGTGGACAAGACCAGCTTTGTGTCATTTGTGGGTAAGGGGCCAGGGCAGTGGGGGAGGGCCTTCCTGGGGAGGCATGGGCCCAGCCTCCCAGCAAGTATCCTCCTCCTAGCAAGTATCCTCCAGGAGTCTCTCTTGTCCCGAGGAGCCCCACAGTGCCCCACTCCCTAGGAAGGTCCCAGGCTCTGCTGCAAAGTTCCACTGCCGCACCTCTCCAAGCCTCAGTGTCTTCCTCTGACAAATGATTTGTGCATACCACTAATAACAATAATAGTTGTTTCTCAGGCACTTCCTATGTGTCAGATCTTGTGCAAATGCCTATCAGATCCTCCCATAAACCTTTCCTGGGGTTCAGAGAGGGGAAGTCACATACTGGATGTCACACAAGAAGGAAGTAGAACTGTAGATATGACAATAATAATAGTAGGAAATAATAACGGGGTAATAGTCAAACTCCTAATGGCTCATATTTAATAAGTGTTTGCCCTGTATTGAGGACTGGGTTGAAGACATGCCTCCAAGCTGTCCCTCAAAACCACCCCCAGGAAATAGATATCATTATCTCCTAGACTCAGGGAGGTTAAATTGAGTGGTGCAGTGTCACAGAAAGGTGATGGGGCTGAAACTACTGGGAATGAGATGCTGAAGGAAAGAAGAGGGACAGAGTGAGAGAGGAGAGAATCCCGGAGAAGAGAGACAGAGACTCAGGGTGGGGCTGGATCAGAGACCCAGAGAAAGGGGTGCCCAGGAGCCCAGAAAGAGGCCCCCCAGGATACTTCTCCCTACTGCATGGTTGGGGAATGGGGCTGCCTGAAGCTGTGCACATAAGACCTAATGTCATTGCCTCCCACCTCCCCCAGGCTTGTCCTTCATGCCCCTGCAGATCTGGTCCAAGGCCCTGGCCATCTCAGGAATCCTCACCATGGGCCTTGCCCTCCTGGGCTGTGTGGGGGCCCTGAAGGAGCTCCGCTGCCTCCTGGGCCTGGTGAGTACCTTGCCCCCTCTCCATCCCTAGGACCACTCCCTTCTCCCCTCAAATAGAACCCCTGCATCCTGTGAGGGACTCAGCCTGACTTCTCCACTCTGGCCCCCAGTATTTTGGGATCCTGCTGCTCCTGTTTGTCACGCAAATCACCCTGGGGATCCTCATCTCCACTCAGCGGATCCGGGTGAGCTTGCCTACTCTTCTGCAGCTAGTGGGTGGACTT